ACATAACCTAAAGCCTCAAATCAAGAAAAAAAATGTAACAAATCTCTTCCAAATTGAGACAACCCACATAAACTTTACTAACCAAAGCAACTAAAAATGTTTAGCAAACATAAAATTTTCTAACCAAAGCAAACTAAAAAGTTGCTTTAAAAAACAGTAAAAAAGCCGTCCCAAACGAAGCCTTAATGATTAGACCTACTTAGCATCTATGGAAGATGAAGGATCAAAGTTACCATAGAACTCCATTGTGGGGAGCTACTTCGGTGCACAATCAATCATACTAAGTGCCTGAGAGGACGACTTAGGCTTTATTTGGGACGGTTTTCTTCCTGCTTCTTAAAGCAGTTTTCTAGTACAAAAATTTTAATTTTTGTACTAAAGAATTGTTTTAAAAAGCAATAAAAAAGCAGTCCTTAATGATTAAGGGTTCACTCAAAGAGGAGCCGAGTGGACCAATAAACATTTTTCAATCATATATTTGCGAATTCGTAATAATATTTTTTAATGATATCCTTACCTATAGTTACTCTACCTTGGATTTTCATTCTGATTATCTCCATCTCATTTTGAAAATAATCATCTATTTTTAAAATTAACAAGATGCCAATTATGTCAAACTCTTAATGAATGCCTTGATCATATCATGTCATCTAGTAGTGTTCAAGCTGACCCCAAAAACCTTGAAGGCATGACAAGCTGGCCAATCCCCTCTTCTTTGCGACAATTAAGATCTTTTTTTAGGATTAACAGTTTATTACAGTCATTTTATATCGTATTATGCCTCTATTGGTGCTCCATTAACAAATCTTTTTAAAAAGGAAGCTTTTAAAGGGACACTAATGCTTCCATCACTTTTCATAATCTAAAAATTGTCATGACTTATCACCTTGTTTTTATCTTCAATCGATTTCACTAAATCTTTTATTATTGAGACAGATGGAACCTGCTAGCTTTGACCATGGCACCTGCTAGCTTCTTGTCTCTCTCAATACCATCTCAAGCTTGGGAGGATTTGTCTATGGATTTCATCGTAGGTTTACCAAATTCACGAGGATAAACTATTCTTTTGGCTGTCATTGGTCATATATCTAAGAGCATCTCCAACGGAACTCCAAACTCTTGAATGCGTTGCCCCAGAGCTCCAGCCGAACAGTAAAACTTCTATTATTTCCTTGCAGGTGAACAATAGGACGCCAATATTGGCATTGCACTGTTCATCATCGTTATTTTTCTACCTCTACCGAACTTGCCAAGAAACGCGCTAAAGAAGAGAGACTGTTACCTTCGCAAAATGGAATTCGATTGGAGAAGAATCGCTGCATTTTTAAGTTTCAAGACATTTTGGAGTAAAAAATGCGATTTTCCGTTGGAGATGGTCTAAATACACCCATTTTGGACCAATACCTACAACCTACTCAGCTTCCCTAGTAGCGAATATTTTTGGCAATATGGTTGTTAGATTACACGAATTTCCAAAAACAATTATGTCATGTAGGGACATCATCTTTTTAAGCAATTTTTGGCGTCTCCTTTATTCCTTAAGCAGTACTACACTCCATTATAGCATTGCTTATCATCTTCAAACAAATGGCCAGACCGAGGTACTAAACCTCTACCACCCCACATTTGTAGTCTACATTTCTTTGTTAGGCAAAATTGTATTATAAAACATCATTTTATACAACCATCCAAATGTCCCCATATTAGGCCCTCTATGCAAATTAACCCCTCCATACCATCACATGCCCATGATACTCTAGAAATCAACACCCTGATACTTTATTAACCACCTATAAAAGCCTCTAACAAATTCTTCGCAAAAAATATCCATCAAGCTCAACATTGAATGAAAACCACGATAGACCGGCATCGTCAAGACTTCCAATTGTGTATATGATTAGGTTATGGTCAAATTACAACATTTTCACCAAAATTATTACCAAAAAACAATTTTAAGAAGCAGTAAGAAAGCCGTCCCAAACGAAACCTTAGACTTCATTTGGGACAGCTTTTTTACTGTTTCTTAAAGTAGTTTTTTAATACAAAAATAAAATAAAGCTGCTTGAAGAAGCAATAAAAAAGCCGTTCCAAACAAAGCCTTAATCTCACACATAGCAATCTTTATGCCTTCCCATGCATGCAGAACTTGTGCCGACATTTACCGAATTCATTCTGGAAAACCTGCAACTCCAATTACAGCAGCCATGCCATTAATGAGTTTTACTTGGCAATTGAGAGCACCTGAAATATAATTAAGGCTCAAGGGGAAGGGAGGAAGTGGAAGGAGGCCCTAATGTGTTTCCTCTATCCTATTAATCTAAATATAGATCATCAAATCCTGATGACTTGTCGAGCATGCAACTCCATCCATTCATTTGTGCTGCATCCAGCTCTCCAGGCCCAATTGAAGTTATAACACAGTTTCCTTCAGGACACGTTCAAGGTATCCAACTTTTCCAGATAAATAGCTTTCTGGGCCATGGCAGATATTAGCAAGATATCTAGCATACACTAAGCAACAAACAGCCAGCTGGTGCAAGCCATTCCATTCTACAATGCATTCTCGTCCTCCATATTTCCCGACATATCCTGCATTTCTTCCATCATTACGACACTTATTGCTATTTGTGATCTGTAGCGAACGGAAATTTGCAGGGTTTTCTATGCATTCCATGTAAGAGTGTCCGTTAGCCAAGAAAGGCCACAAATTTATCATAATGAGAGAAACACTATCAATAAACCGTGCAGAAGAAACCAGCAAACCTTCCTGTGATTTGGATTGACCTTCTATGGCAAAGTGAGAACCAACAAATGTCAAGTTGATGTCAGAAACAACAAACTGTCCCGAAGATTTTGCAATTCTAATAAGATATAAAATAGACTCGCCAGCAGTGATCCAGAAAAGTGCAGTATTTTGTATAATTGAAGTGTCAGACATGAATAAATGATGGGTAGCACATGCAATCAATAATGAGCAAGCGGCGGCGGCCCGAGCCATCTTAAATTTTTTAGAAACATCGTCGACATTACTCGCTTGTATTCTGTATGCAGATGACAAAACAATGCAAGTTTTCAAAGAAAGAAAATGAAGGGGATGAAGCCTGAATCTTGATTCTAATGCATCAGATGGCATGCAATGGAAGCTATGGCAAAGCATGTCCTCCAGCTTTCTACAACATATTTCTGGAGTTCCATCAAACATATATTCAGCTATAGTTTCCTCTAAGTAGTCAGAAACATCCATCCATTCTGAGTCACTGCAGAATTTGTTTTCCAAGTTCAAGCTCCTCGCATCACACTAAAATGAGCAGCAAAGTCAATTAAGTTATTGGCAAAGGGCTTTCTAGAATTACTGCAAGGCAAGGGTGATTTGAAGATATCAAGAACAGACATATAGGTTGAGATATGAATGGGTAAGGACCGTTAAGGCTTCGCCCTCCAGGAAATCATAAGCTACATATTCCTCCATAATTATTATTTTCGGAGTTCTAGAGCTAAGCATGTCTGTGAAGAGAAAGGAACCTTCAAGTTCAGTAATTCATAGGATACTTCAAGAAATACAATAATAGAACCAATAATATACTTAGAATTATATCCTCGTGCCCAGTCTGCAAGTGCACATTTTACATGATTGCATGAAAGTCGAACATAGGTGTACATTGATAGCAGGTAAACAAGCTGAAGCTGTGAAACCAGACCTGCCCCAAGAGAAGGGAACCTTGAAAAAATCCTCATTTCTATTAATTGATGCAGCCCACTTTTTCTCTATAGGAAAAGTAAATATTTCAAACAAATGATTTCATGGATAAATTTAAATTTATCATAACTATTTTCTTGAATAATTATATGTTCAAATTTTTGTTGTTTTTTTATGTTATGAATGATTAGTTTCAAAATTAAATATGAAACAAAATTTATTTAAAATTTCTACCTCACTAACACTAAAGAAAGAGACCTAAAGAGGCCAATTAGGAGTGTGTTTGTATGTTTTCTAAGATGTTGTGGACTTCCGGCTAAAAGCAATAAGCAGGAGACGAATGACTGGGACAAATAATATACAGCAGAAGGATAGCTTCCACTCTTAGGTAACGAAAAAGTTTAAATTTAATAATTTTGTTTAAGCATTTTTGTGAATGTGTTATGAAGGAAATGACAAAAATGTGGTGTATTTTATGAAAAGTTTATTACAAAAAAATTAATGACTTACTTGGCTCATTTAAATGAAAAATTAAGAGATATGAGAAGTGAATTTTAATCTGACCCGCCTTGGTACTCCAAGTTTCTGGGTCGGATCATAAAAGAGTACAGGCACTTGGGAGGCAACCAAGGGTGTTATGATGATAACACTTGGTAACATAAATAGTATATTATATATGACTTATAACAGTAGAATATTGAGACCAAACGACAATAAATTCATACACACGATATCAAAGGCTCAAGTATGAGTAATGATATTGAAATTCTAGATTCAAAATACAAGCTTTCAATTTTGAGGTTTTTGAATTTTGGTTATTATGAGGACTATATTCTTGAAAGCAAAGATAAGTCAAATATTTTAAAGGCTGAAAGGGAACCGAATGCCCAAAAGTTGAGATTTGAAGACATCTAAGGTTAAGTTTGACCCCCAGTTGCACCTCTTAGTGTGGCCCACTTTACTATGTTACCTTCATCAATGACTCCAATAAAAAAAAAATATGATGTATTTGTTTCTTTTAAGAGAGAGAAAAATATGCTAAATAATGAGACAAACTAAAAAGGTGAAAAAAACCCCTTAAAGGTAATGAAAAGAGCCAAATTGAATACCTAATCAATCAATAAATTAAGGAAATTGTGAATTGCTTTCACCTGTACACCCTAGATGGCATCCTGGCCATCCAAGTCAATCATTTTTCATCCAGAGAAACTTCCACCTCAAGCTTCATGGAACTTTTTAAAGATAAGATTTAGCCCTCCTTTCAGCATGTTTATATCTGTTCGAATCTAGCCTTAATACAAGATCTCTTACACCGCTAGCCTCCTAATAGATCATTTCAAATCTACTAGAATGAGGGTCACCACCTCTAGCTGATGTTAACACCCACCATGCAATTGGATGGATGGATACAACTTATCGATGCATTCCTGAATCTTAACAAATCTAGCACCTATCAAAATATTCATGAATATCTGCATGATAATCATCTACAATATAACATTAAATCTTTGCATGGCTAATATATGCTAATATATCCCTAAATTTCTCGCATGATAGCCACTTATCATTACTTTTTTAAACCCTCAATGTTTATCCACTGTCAAACTCTATATAATCTGTTAAAATCCCAACCGTCCCTTGCCCTTGATCCCACGTCTGCATGGGGATCCGTGGGAGGCTCACCTAGATCACACTGTTAAATCTCAACTATCCCTTGGCCCTTGATCCCACGGCCAGGATGGGATCCGTGGGAGGCTCACATGGATCACGCTGATCTTCTTCCATATTCAGGTGGCTAATTTAGGAAGGATTATATTAGGGCAATTATGCATGATTTCATATTTTTTTGTTTCTTTATTAAGATATCTTGTATAGATCTATAAATAGATATAGTTTTGTATAATAAGATTAAGCTTTTTCCCTCTCCAATTCTCTAAATTTAACATGGTATCAGAGCCAGATGCCCACCACCGACCTTCATTGCCTGAATTATAAGGAATACAAGTTCCCACTATCAGCCTTCATTATCGGAATTTTGGGAATACTAGTCCTTCCACCGGTCTTCATTGCCACAATTTTGAGAAATATAGGTTCCCACTACCGGCCTTCATTGCTAGAATTCTGAGGAATGCTGGTCGTTCTACTGGCCTTTATTGTCGGAATTATGAGTAATACAGGTTCCTACCACCTGCCTTCATTGTTGGAATTCGGAGGACCTTCGTCAATCCAAGACCGAGGAGAGATCAAGCAGGAGGGATCCTCTTGCGTGCGACGTCTAGAGTCGACCAAGCAGAAGCGAGCGCAAGACCTCCTCCTGCGTGTGTCTAGAAAGAGTCGAGAGTTCCCTCTCATGTGAGGGCAGGGACAAGCAAGAGTGCAAGACATGCATTCCCTCTTACGATCAAACTAGAGGGATCAGAGGCCTTGCATGCACCTATACTGGTCGATCAAACAGGAGTCTATTCAGGTGGAGTCGGATAACCTGGGAAGGAGGAGATCTATGTGCCGAGTGTTGAGTCTCTTGAGATATGTATTTATGCTCCAATCCTTGAAGCTTTCTGCAAACCTAAAAAGTAATTTTTTTTCCTTTTCACTGTCGTGCCTTCATTGCCGGCCTTCCCTTGAGAACCGCGAGGGAGATGGACCCGAAGGATAATTAATCCACTTTTCTTGTTGTCCCACCACCGTCCTTTATTTTCATTTTCGGTCTTTTGAGGGTTACTGTTCAACACAACCTTCATTGTTGCCTCATACCTTACAAGCTTGATTGATATAGCCTTCATCGCTATCATTTGCCATTGTTGAAATGTCTGAAGCTAATTCCTCCCAAAGTTTTGATCAAATGGAGGATTCTATGGTGCACCATGGATTTCATAACTCTATTTTTTGGGACTAATTACTAAGATGAGAATGACATATTTGTATTCCCCAGCTTGAGGGAGAGTGTTAAAATCCCAACTGTCTCTTGCCCTTGATCCCACGGCTGCATGGGGATCCATGGGAGGCTCACCAAGATCACGCTGTTAAATCTTAGTTGTCCCTTGGCCCTTGATCCCACGGCCAGGATGAGGATCCGTGGGAAGCTCACCTGGATCACGCTGATCTCCTTCCATATTCGGGTGACTGATTTAGGAAGGATTATATTAGGGCAATTATGCATGATTTCATATTTATTTGTTTCTTTATTAAGATATCTTGTATAAATCTATAAATAGGGATATTTTTGTATAATAAGATTAAGCTTTTTCCCTCTCCAATTCTCTTAATTTAACATAATCATCTCTCAGTATGAAGCCTATTTTGTTCACTAGTAACTAATTAACGTAGTTATTTAAAGGAGTAAGGATTCTCTTCTCAACATATGTTTCCCTCAATCTTGTCTTATTCTTCCGCATCTTTTCCCTAAACCTATCGATAAGGCCACCGGCCCCCCATCACTATGAATGTTATTGTTTCCTCTGAATGACCGTTATTTTAACCTCTCTTTACGTAGAATCCTCTTAAAACTCCATTTCTTCTCTTTTACATTGCAGAAAAGAATCTGACTAATAATTTGAGCAAGAAAGAGAAAGAAAGAAAAATACTTGGCTCTCTTGTTTATGGTTATAGTGAAATGTTCTGATGAATAATAATGGTGTTTTCGGTGCAAGCATGATTTTTTTGCAACAAGTACAATATGCCATATTGGAGAAAAGCTAGTGGTACAAAAAATATCCTATTGCTGTAAATAGGAAATACTTCACAAAGTTCATTAAATATATCTCTCCTCCAAATCTCTTACTTTGTTATTTATTCTTTTATTATTCCCCCAAAACATAAAGGCCTCTATGAGAAAATTTTAATGAATCCTTCCCTATAATAGTGGAGAAATTCCTGAGTACTATCATGAATGTAGGCTAAAAGTTAATTTCGCCAAACTATGTAAATTTTTGCATCATCTATTTTGATTTTCTTTTTCAATTTTCATTTCATTCTTGCTTTTGCTCTTGCAATCATTTTGCAAACAAAGTTTTTAAATCAAATTGACTAGTGCCACAAAAAAAGTTAGTTTTCCTCTACATCCAATAAATCCGCTGAACAAAAGAATGGTTATGAGAAATGAAGGGAAAAAAAAAAAGAAGACGATCTCAGTTGCTCCAGTTACGGGGATGCAGCAGTGGTGTTAGAATACAGAGATGTAGGGAAGGGAATGAGTGGAGAAGAAGGTAGCAGCAATACAAGACTAAACAACAAGAGGAAAAAATATTAGAAGGGGAAACAAGAAGGTTATGGGAAAGGAGAGAAGAAAAATGGGAGGGAAACAATAAGAAAGACGAGGTAGATAGGTAAAACGACAGAAATAGAAAACAATAGCATGGAGAGAAATTAAGGGAGGTGACGGAAGAAGAGTTCAGATAGTGTTTTAAAGGAGTGCAGGTGGATGAGGAATAACGGATAAGTTTTAGAGGCACAAATATACACATCTGGTGAGTTATTTTGGCTCTGCCCTCAAACCTAAAGCCTACATGACTTAAAATTAAGCTGTGGTTTCAAAATTCTAGCAAAAAATTAACAAATAAGGACAGGAAAGGTAGAATCAAACCAAAGATTCCTAAATATCAGAAAAAATAAAGCAATAACGCTTAAGCTGGGGAAGAATGAAATACTCAAATGGCAGAGACTTACAAAAACATAAAGCACGATCCTTCCATTTAACCACTTTCAGCATGGAGCTACAAACAACAGAAAAATCTTCTAAAGAATTTTGTAATAAAATATGAATAAAAGAAACCTAGAAAATTAGAAGCAAAATCTTTCAAATTGAAAATTTTAATTCATTTATTGAAAACAACTTCCAGAATAAACTTATATACATCAGTACAACAGAGCAGGATTGAATAATGTAAACAATAAAGCAAGTTAGTCGGTCATCTTCTGGAAGATGTTTTATCAAGAACTAAGCTAAAAAGATCAAAATTGTTATCAAAGCGGTGCCCAACAAGAATAGAATCTAAAGTTTCTTACGCTGAGAATGTAGTCCATGTACATTTGGGGTGATACACAACAGCGCTTACAGTGACAGATAAATCGATATCTTGACCACAAATCAAAATGCCTCGGTGCCTGAAAAATTACGGATGTATCCATGTAAGACCAGCAAAGTTATTTAACAAGTGTGGAAGAATAAAAAGCAGAAATATCTAGTCAACTAAATCACCTATTCATTTTAAGTTTGTTATTATATGTTACTTACCATATAAATACAAAAGTAAAAAGGCATATGAGAAGTTAGAATAAAAAGTATCGCCAGAAAGAAAAACATTGAAAGGGAAAAAACAATCAAATTTCATTAGCAAAAACAAGACTAACGCAAAATAATACATTAATCCCATATATATATATATATATATATATATATATATATATATATCTATTTTACATGAACATGTATATTAAATAGGAAAAAAAATCAAATTTCGTTAGCAAAAACACGACTAACCCAAAATTATATATTAATCCCTGTTAACGCATTTTTTTCACGTTTGTTGGACCAAATCGAGTCAAATCAGGGTTAGATTGAACCCGATCAATTACATCGAGCCAAGATACAATACTAGAGAACAATGTGTATAAGACAAGAAGTAATACATAACAATGATAGAGAACAAGTACTTTCTGTTAGGAAATATTTGAAGATCTCAAGTAAAACCTAACAATATTGGCGAAAATAGAGAAAATATCTACAACTCAAAAGGAAAAAACCGGGAAATAGTAGTTTTTGTTGTAATAATCAAGATACTGAAAGGAAAATACCAAGATACAGTCGATCCTCAATTCGAAGGAGGATCTATCTCTCTCAATTCCTTAGATGCCCGCTAGAGCCAAGAACCCAACACCAAGAAGAAAACATCCACAATAATCTTGCATGCCCTAACCCTAATGTGAACTCCTAATTAAAGAAAATATAAACAAAAACAAAAAGGACTAAACAGCCCCCTACCTCTTCTCTTGGATGTGACCCCACACCCAGGGGTCGGCCAACATGAGCCGTGATAGGTCAGTAGGCTTGCGCCGTTATAGGTGTGGAGCCGGCCCAAAGGTTGGGCCGGCTAGACCGGTTTGGGCGTATCACTTTCGTAGGAGATTGTTTGATTTCATAGATTTGTGCAATATCACAAAATTTAGAATATGTTTTGATAGGAACATCAGATTTCGACACGTGTAACATCTGCCGGCGGCGCAGATCGACGGCTACGATCCAGAGCCTCTACTTTCTGAGTTATTTACAGCTTATGTCATGTGTACTTCTTTAGTTTTCCTAGTTTGCCCCTGAGGGCATTGTTCCGCTTATGTACCTAAGATGGGCGTTTATGTCTTTTCATTTTTCTTTATTTTGAGCCTCCTTATATGAGCATCATTGTATATGTAAGAATTAGTTTTTTGGATGAAATGAAATTTATTTTTGTTCTCTTTGTGAGTTCATCTCCCACGATCTCTTTGTGAGGTTCGCCGAGAGAGAACTAGATCTTTAGTGAGTTCTAATTTTCAAATTATCTAATCTAGTGGAAGTTCAAAGTGGAGACAAGCGAGGTGATTAAATCCGTAGTCGTCGAAGCCTTGAAAACTCCCTCTCTTCTTTCCCTTGCTCTTTTCCGCGCCCACATCCAAGCCGCCCAAAGCCACGGCCACTCTGCCTCCATTTTTCACCGGTCAGATTAGCGCTCAGACCTCCGCCGGCCTTCCTCCGGCCAACTCCCCGCCGGCCAGCCCCATAACCCCATTCCCGCCGGCCACAAGCTCCATCCCGCCCCTCTTCTGGAAATTATTAATTTGAATTTCAATTTTTCTTTGAGCTCTAATTACCTTTCCTTAAATGTCTCCAGAATTTAAGCAATTGTTTTTTAATTGATTATCCAAAGCAAGTTTGAAATTCAACAATTGCCTGATTCTCCTATCCGTAAAGGGAGGTTTCCTTTCTAGACAATTTAATCTATTTTAATTACAAAATTTAATAAATCTGCCATTTAATACGATTGGCCCCCACTCCACTTAATCCCTCTTCCTCTTCCTCTCCTTGATTTAATTTGATCTCAAAATTAAATCATCCCCATTAAACCCTCCAAATCTGAAATTACTTCAGAATTCCTGCACCGCACCATTGATTCCCCTCCTTGGCCGAACCCTACTAGCGTCTAGCCCACCAAAACCGTGGACCTCCTCTCTCCCCAAACTCCCGCCACTTTCCCACTCCCTCTCTTGCTCTCTCTATTCAACCCTATCATGAAATCAATGGCGGATCTGGAGCTAGAATGGGGACTTGTGTTTGACGCTCACGGCAACCTCGACATCAACGATCGCGTTCTTCGACGCAGGATTTGATTCCGACGACAATACCGTTGAGCCTACTTGGATCGGATCCTACCGCAACCCTCATAATCGTCATCGACAAACAACATTCCCACGACTCCGAGTGGATCATTGAGGCCGCCCACCCGCTACCTCCCAAATCCGACTTCTTTCCTGGCGACGAGTCCTCTCAAGACACTTGTCTATTAGTGGCATCGCTAAGTCTACTATACGATTCTCCTCCGCTAGCACCACTTTCAAAACAGAGTGACGGACCTCAAGGTGAATGACCTTAGATTTTAAATTTGGGGCTTTGTTATCATTAGCTATTTGTATTACTTAAATGTTTAGTTGTTATTTTGCAAGTTACCGTAAACTCTACATGTGATCTATTGCCTTTCCTAAATCTCTCAACATTAAATTCTTAACTCAACCTTGAGCAAGCAAAGATTTATTCATTAGCAAGAAAATTTCATGACTTTCATTAATTTCCCAAGGCAATTCTTGTTCATTGCATGTTGTTTCACATCATGTTTAATTTACGTAAAGTCATTTTTTCTGAAGGAAAATGCATACATCATTTGTCTTAAGAGCCAGATTTCAATAATCAAGACATTACCATAGAGCCATGTTCATCCCAAATATCAAACATGAGATCCCCTTTGCTCAAGTTCGGTGACAAGAAAATTATCCAATTTTGCTCGTTTCATTAATAGTGTGCGAACCAATTATGAAAACTTAAGATAGTTATTCCATTCACTTGGTATGTTGAATGAATGTTTTGCAATTCTCACAGTAGATTTAGATTTTCAACCTCAATTCCAAATGAACCCAAGTCCAAGGGAACATAATTATTGTTGTTGTCCATAGAGATGAAAACTATGGAAGTGATTGGTTTGTAAAAAGAAAGACAGAAACAAGACTATAACGATGAAGGCTAAAATTATGAGAAAAATAGGAGAAAAGAAAAAGAATGTAGTGATGAAGGCTTTAAGATTGTAACAATGCAGTGACAAAGATTGCAACTATGAGAAAAGCCTAAAAATCTAATAGCATGTAAAAATTGAAGAATTAGCTTATTTCATTCCAATGTTTGAGTATAATTTATAAAACTCTTAAAAATCTTCTAATGGGGAATATATAAAATCAGGGAATGAAAAAATAACTGTATATATGCTCATAGATGTTTTCTTGTATAGCCGAGTGGCACACATGGAATGTTGATGTGGCGGCAAGGATCCTATGGATACGTGAGGTGACAAGGAGATGAAACATAAGCTGGGGATCCAAGATGTGGAGATGGAGGTGGATGTTAGGGATGTTACATTTTCACACAATAAATGAAAAAGCAATTCTCACACAGAAAATTTTAAGCATGTGCATAAGACACTATTTTCCCTTCACCAAGAATATGAAAAAGATAAAGTGGAGTTAATCAAATGTGAGAAGGTACTTTAGAAGAATAAGTATGCCAGACCATTAATTGAGAGTAGTTTTTCTTTATAAACTAACAAAAGTACCTTATCAAATATAAGCTTCTCATATGGCTGACCAATAATATTTTCAAAATATAACTATTGTATTAATCAGTTTCTTAAAATGGTTGTAAATCTCCAAAAAACCCGTAAATATAACAATTTACATAAGTTTTATGATCCAAAGTAAATAGCAGTTAAATATGGAAACCTTTAATGTAAGATGTGATGCACACGATTACTGATAGTTAGGCAAGAAAGGTAACAAAATCAACACTGTAACACTACCGTTAAACAATATAATCTCAATAAAATAGCTCATAGGTAAAACAAAAGTGCTCTTTAAGTAACGACAGCACCATACCTTGGGTTGCAAAAGGTCAGTGTACGCAATGCAAACTTCAGCATCTTTCTTTAATGGTTTGATATTGCGAATTATGATTCTAGGGCCAAACCAACACAAGCCTGCAATAAAAATCAAATGAAATAATAAAAGGAGGAAGCAAATGACCTTCAGTGAAAAAACAAGAAGGAAAGAGAAAACAACATAATTTGTTATCAAACAAGTAAATATAATATCCTACCACGAGCCAAGCTACTCTCGACATTAGTCCATGTTTTCCACTGCAAAAAAAGGGACACAGACATGAATATTCTAGTCTAAGTGAGTATAAAGACGTAGTTTTCATGCAAATTCATTTCATTTAAAGACAATACATTATACTTTGGGTTTAAATTTTGGGTTTAAAAGGAAGGATACGACACATAATCAAATATAAACCCATTAAAAGAAAGATTCGGGAAGACAGAAAATTAAAATTGGAGGGATAAAGGTAGCTCCAAATGGTAATACCCTCAAAATAATTTATTTTGAATAACATGTTAAATAAAAGTTGGTCGCGGTATCCAAAAATCCTCAAGATTGTACCATCAGTTTGATATAACTTTTCTTCACATAATCATCACCCTAATTAAGATGCATAGCTTCTTCACAATTAACCGAAATTTTAAGATCTTGAATCTTACTCGCTTTATTTTTATCAGCATTCATTAAATGCCACATCTAATATTAGGACGACATTTTACTTTATTTTTTTATATTCCACCTATTCATCTTAAAGTTTAAAATTAATAAGCGATATTGGGTACATAAACTTTCACTTGGAGGTACATAAACTCTTAATTTTTCTATAAGAGGACATATATTCCAATATCATATCCTAATTCTAATTTTATGAACTAGCTTCTTTGCTTAGACCCGCCAATGATGTGGTGACCCTTGCTTATTTTAACACTGCACCTGGGCGTCGGTGCAATGGTCTTTGCATACTTTTCACTGTATTCAGATCATACAACGCGTCGCTTCAAGGAAACTCGCTAACATTAACACAATGTATTAAAACCTTCATGTCATGATTGTTCGATAAATTTTATACTAATTGTCAGCTAGCTAATGCAACATTTCATTTTTTCTCATCAAAGGCCAAGGTCTTGGGACCTAACAACAACAGTGTTATTTAGAGTATATCAATAATACAACAAATTGTGAAGACCTACTTCTATTCGTGCAAAATTGTATTTTTGATAATTATCTTCTCAGTTCAGGCTTACCATCATACTTTTGCTATTAGTATATATTTCTGATTAAATTTTATAATCAATTAAATCTTTAAATCATAAAACAAAAAATAATAATTTAATTAGATTTAACAGCTATCATACAAAACAATTTTCATGATTTAAACCTTTCCGGATTTACTAAATCTGAATTTCCGTGCTTTATTCTACTTATTGGCAAGCAGCCCGTCGATCAGTTCCTGGCTCCTACTAGATCAGGTCAGTCGAGATTCAAATCAAGTTGGAGAACTGATACTAAAGGCGCACAGTATTGAAATGCCCTTGGACATCATTATGCAGTAAAATCATCAACCGCTGTAGTACATGAAAGGACGGAAAGAGAGCACTGGATTACAAGGAAAGACTAGAGAATAAAATTAAAAATAAAAAACAGCTTCAATCCCAATAGCAGCAGCTGAACCAGCCGTAAACAATAGAAGTCAGGCAAAAGATGCAAATTCCCATCTCGGGCATAATTACCAAGTTACTCAAGGATAGATTGCACAACAAAAGAACAATCATATAGGTTATTATAAACAACAATCGAAACAAATAAAAAATTTTGAGAACAGTTAAAACGGGTGTTTTACCACATCAAGTGCTTCTCCAACGCCACCAGCCGGCAAAACTTTGAAAGAACCCAAATCACAAGGACGGATAGCTTTGAACCCGGAAGAAAGCTCAAAACGGTAGCAAGCATTAGGCACGCAGCTATGGTTAAACCACGAGAACCATGGTCCGTACACCGCCACACCTAACCCACCCAAATCACCAATTTCCACCTCCACAGCATTCGTCATCACCGCCCACAACACCTCCTCCTCAATCGACACCTTCTGCAACCTACAACCTTCAACCAATCTACAGTTTCTAGCTCGGGCCATCAACGTCGCCCCTTCTCGGATCCTCTCCGCCAACTCGCCGCCTTCATCCATTACTTCAACAAGCCCACTAGCAAGAAGCCCACCGATGCGGCGCGGAGAATCACTACAAGGGACAGGAGAAGAGAGGAGGCCAAGGCGCTCGAACAAATGGATGAGGCGAAGAGCGGCACGCACATCGGTGGTATCCTTGGGGGGAGAAGGTGCACAGAGGGCGAAAAGGCTGCATTCTCCGCTGGATAAGTGGCTGTCAGAATCGGCGGCAGCGCATTCGCGGGAGCAGTATTGAACAGTGGCGGAACAACGGGAGCAAGAAAGAGGATTGTTGCTGGTTGATTGAAGAGAAGTGGAGGAGGAAGAAGAGGGGAGACGACCGAAGCAAGCAGAGCAGTGCGAGGGAAGGAATTTGTGGTGTAGAGAGGCGGCAATGGGAGGTATCGCCGGAGTTAGGTCATTGGACATTGGCGTGTCTTCGCGTGCTCGGATCTCCATGCCGCTGGGCTAGCTACACTTTTTTGCGTTTTAATAAATTTTTTAAAAAAAATTATTGATTTTTTTCTTTTTAATATTATAAGTTAGTAAAACATAGTAAAATTTGAAGTAAGCTCAGGAATTTAAGATGTTGAGGGATCAATGAACTTAAATTTATTTTAGTCATTTATTAAAATAAGTAATATTTTCAATTTAATATATCATTTGAATAAATATATTAATTAGAATTAATTATAATTATTAGAATCAATTAAAATTTTCTTATGAATAATTAAATTATTTTGGTAAATTCATAAATAATTATGTTAATTTGAATTAATCTAGAATAAATGGACAATATTCTATTAATTTATACCGAGAATAACTTAAGTAATGTAAGAATAATTATATTTGTTAATTAATAATAATATGGTAAAATTTTAAGGAGCATTTGTTAATGATTATGTTGAATATTATATATATATATATATATATATCTTGAATTCAGTGCTATTAAGAGTAATTAAAATATTATTTAGAGTAGAAGGTCATGTAATTATTATTAAAGGTTGATAAATATTGATAACATTGGATACTACGCGAAAGTAATATTCAGAGCATAAGATTATGTACTTGTTGTCTCGTTGTTCATTCAAGTCATTTTTTGGATTTTGTTGCTGAGACTAATTTATCACATTACATGAGCTATAAAATTATAATGTCAAATGAACCTAAATTGTAGTATATGAAGTAAATTTGTAGAAATGATATTTTTTACAAATATGCATTAGTTATTAAACGTTGGATTATATTGATGTCATTAGATTCTTGACAAATTTATTATCTATAGCATTTGGATCATGTACTTGTCGGCTGATTTTTCATTAAGGTTGCTTATTAGAAGATATTGCTCGTAGCAATTTGTCATATTAGGCAAGTTGTAAAAGTGCAATATTTAATGAATTATTCTTATGGTAGTTTGTGTAGGTTTGCATAAAGAAATTATTTATTTGAGTTTTAATGTTTAATTTATTCAACCTCGTCTATATAAGGAATGCATATGTGAGTGTTGTTAAACATTGAGTGGAGTTATTTGTATTATGTTTATTTTGCCAAATAGTTGAGTTCTTCAATTTTATTTATTTTTCGTCATAATGCATTGGCCAAGTTTAGAGAAGGTTCGAGGCAACCTCACAAAGAAAAATGTTAAATAATACAAGTAGATTTCAGGTCAAGGAAGAGGTTTAGAAGTATACGGCTAATTAGATACATGATTTTTTAGGTTTCACTGTCATTTTATCTTTTGATTATACTTTTGAGCTCAGGAGTGAGAAGACAATATATTTATTTGTACTGATATTTTATTACTAAAATAAATTAAATAGCTCTAATTATTATTATTAAAAGATTAATAAAATTTATTTTTTTCCCAAAGTAGCTCTTGACCCATGGTGTAACTTCTCAATATGTCACCCACCTAGGAGTGCTCCAATACTATCATGCTTAACTTTGTAGTTTGTAATGAAACTCCAACCATTATTTCAAAAGTCGTCTCGATGTTTAAGAGTTTAGTTTTATTTTCTTAATGAGTTTCATAATTATTTATAACAATCTAAACTCTCAACAATTGAGATATTATTCTCTTTAGACTAATGGCCTCATGTGTTTTTGTCTAATTGATGTAACTTCTTAGTAGATCAGTTATCCTAAGAATGCTCCTATATAAGCATGTTTGGCTTTGGAGTTTCTAATAAACCTTCTCATGATTTTGTCCATTAGTTTTTGGAGAAAAAGGTTTCATGTAGTTGACCCCATATAGTGAGATAAATGCTTGATGTTATTGTTATTAGTTAGTTAGTTATCTAAAGGTAAGATTCTGAAATTCCTCAAAAAATAAAACTAAACTCTTAAATATCATTTTGCATTTTGGTGTAAAGGTGCATTGATATTAAACTACATCCTCGTCAATTTCTTTAGCCTAGAATCATTCACCAGACATATAAGATCACTTAGTTCTAATCTTTCACTGGTGTATACTTGATACCATTTGTAACAACCCAAATTCTCAACCAATGACATATTATTCACTTTAACCTAATAGCCTTAATGTTTTGTCTCATTAGTATAACTTTTCAATAGGTCACCCATCCCAAGAGTGCTTTTATATAACCACGCTTATGTTAGAGTTTCTAATAAAATTTCAACCACTACACCAAAAAAGCCTCGATATTTAAAAGTTTAGTTTTATTTTCTTAACGTGGTTTCACAATTTGTAACAATCGAATTCTCAACCATTAAGATATTATCCACTTTAGTTTAATAATGGCCTCCCAATTTTTTATTATTGGAATAACTTCCCAGTTGGTCACTCATCACAGGATTGCTTCTATACAAGCACACTTGACTTTTAAATTTCTAATGAAAATCCAACCATTATATCAAAAGATGTCTTGATGTTTAAGAGTTTAACATTATTTTTTTTTTTAAGGTTTTACAATCTCCTCACTTAGATAACTGACATCCTTGTCAGTTTTCTTAACTCAAAATTATCCACTTGGTAGATAAATTTCTAAAGGTAGATATCAAATACTCTAGCTAATGTATTGTTTTGATATCATTTATAACAATTTAAACTTTCAACCATTGAGATATGTTCTGGCCGCTGCTTTAGCCTAAAGCTTCATGGTTTAATCATATTGGTTAACTTACTAATAAATCACCAATCCCAGGAGTACTCCTGTACGACCACATTTAACATTATAGTTTAATCATTACACCAAAAGACACATTAATATTTAAAAGTTAAACTTTATTTTCTTTAACATGATTCACACATGCTCATTTACAATATTGGGAGTCCCATCCAGAGCAGAGAAATTAAACCAAATTCTACTTGGATTACAGCTACCGCTTCCTTTTTTATATATATATTTCTATGAATTACTTATAAATAGATTGTAACAAACTCAATATAGAAAATAAAATTGATATTTCTTTTTTGTCTTATTTTCCCCTCTATTTTCTCCTATCCTGATATCCTCTATACTAGGAGAAATTATTTTGTGCGGACACCGGATGGTTTGGAGGTCAACCAGAAGGCGTCACGTCACTCGGTGCATAGCAGTACCCATCATCGGTGCCGAGCAAAAAAGTGACGTAGCGCGTTCTGATTGAACTCCGAACGACGTCCGGTGTCCGCACGGAATAATTTGTCATTTTGAGAGATTATTAGGAGCGAAGGGCGGACGGGAAGAACCGTCCGCACAAGCATTGGGTACCTAGCGGTTTCCCACTCGGTACCGCTGGGTACTGCTGGGTACCGCGCTTGTGCGGACGGTGTGCACTCCGCACCTAATAATTTTCCCATAACTTCATTTAGGAAAATATGGTCGAACAAATTGGGATTACTGAGTTCTGCCACACAGAATTTATGCGTCCATTTGGCAATGGGTTGCAACCACTAGTGCACCAATGTCCAGCACTCCCTACAAGGCCACGAGCTTACAGTGGATTTATTTATCTTTAAGCTTCGTTTCGGACGACTTTTTATTGCTTCCTGAAGTAATGTTTTATTACAAAAATTAAAACTTTTGTACTAAAAAATTACTTTAAGAAGTAGAAAGAAAGCCATCCCAAACGAAGCCTTAGTTATGGAAGGCGTTGATCTTGTGATTACCGAACTCTTACTACATTGTTTTCATTGAATGATACTGCGGTCCAACAACAAGAAGAACCATATTTTTTCCTTTGGGACGGCTGTTTTACTGTTTTGTGAAACAGTTTTATGATACAAAAACTTTTATTTCACAAAAATATCTCAAACGAAGCCTACAACTCTACTCCGAGCCATTTACCTTCCACCAATTTTAAGCTTTTGTTCAATATGGAACTATTTTCTATACTTTTAAACACAGCTTATCTTAGTCTGTTAGTTAGGGGTTTTGAGTACTAACTAAGATGTCTTGAATTCGACTATAATCACTTACAAATATGACATTATATTTTCCTTCTTCAATCTCTACAATCTCACATCACTTCACTGTTTGGTTTTAAGTTCCCAAACAGTCGTCACCTCCTATTAATTTGATCCCTGCTTTCCCCTATCAAGGGAGCACAATCACTGCCCATATAAGCAACATCATTTTTTCTAAGATTTCATTTGGAACAGTTTCTTTACTATTTTCTAAAACAGCTTTGTAATACAAAAATTTTCATGTTCATAACATTTTTTTACTAAAAAACTATTTTACTTGTTACTCCGCTTAAAAACCCGCACCAAATACATTAAACCCCTTCATCCATTTTATAAGCACCATCGAGGCCAACCCAAACAATCATGATCAAGTTGTTTCTCCCATCAAATTCGAATTAAAGAGATTATTACGTGCAATCACCAATTGTCATTCGGAGGTGAATCAAGACGTGCCACGTCACCATTTTACTTTGTACCGGATGACGTGACGCATCTTAATTTGTCTTTGGATGATCTTGTGACCGTACGTAATAATTTCACCGAAAAAGACCTAAATGCTAAATTTAACTTCAACGTCGACCAGATTGGACCTTTGGTATTACAGTAGACCAAAGATAAGGGGCCGCACCCTTTATAATTGAATGCTGATAGCACAACTACTCAATCTCAGTCTTTCAAAATAATTTTCTTATTATTTTTTAAAACAATTTTCTAGTATAAGAATTTTTTATTCAAAAAATTTTTATAATAAAAATTATTTTTTAATTATCCCAAACAAAATTTCAATCATAAAATTTAATTTGAATTGCTACGATTAAATACATAAACAATCAAAATAACAAAAAAAAATGCCAAATTCAATCCTAATATTCATAATTCAAGTTGGATTAGTTATTGTGTACAATTACTCACCTAAATATAGAAAATCAGAAAACCAAAAGTACTGATAATATTAACCGAAAAAAAATGTAAAATTTTTTCCTCAATCTCTCTAAGACCACTGCTTATCTCAACAATTTTTTTAGCATAAAATTTTCTTAATACAGCAAAAAAAAAAAGAAGGCAAAAAATAATTCCAAACGAAGCCTTAATTGAAATGCACCAGGACAAAAGTTCTACAGTATACAAGAGAATTTAATAATATCATTTCATTATTTCGCATCTAATTATGCTCATTAAGATCAATAGCTTCCTTTTTGTTTTCTCTTAGATTTATTTTGGACAACTTTCTTATTGCTTTGTAAAGCTGATGTGGGAAAAACAAATTTTAAAATTGTTGTGAATAATAAATTCCTAGGAAAAAAAATTATTGAAAACAACAAAAAAACAATGATCAAATAAAAATCGTGGTTGCGATCTGAAAAAAAACAAAGCAGTAAAAAAACTATCTCAAATGATTTAGGCTTCGTTTGGGACGACTTTCTTATTACTTCATTAAGTAGCTTTCTAGTACAAATATTAAAATTCTTATACTAAAAAGCTGTTTTAAGAAGTATAAAGAAAGTCATCCCAAACGAAGTCTTAGTCTTCGTCAAAGCCTCCGTCATCAGCATCCATGCCATCATTACCAATTCCTTCATTACCTAACTCAATGTGATCAGTTATGAGTTCGGTTTGACCCACAAACTCATTCAATTCCAGAATCTTCTTTTCCATCTTAGATTGTACTTTCAAGGCTTCCATATTGGTGTCATTGAAAAATGATGCATAGGGCTTTGAAACCTGAACTTAAAAAAAAACAACTATAGTCATACAAAAAAGATGAATCCTAATAATTTGAGTAAATTTACGGCACCTTAAAATAACAGTTGCGTTCTTTAGAATTGTTGACTAAATTTTTCCAATGATCATCCTGCATCAAAGTTGATGCAGAACCCACAACCTGGAGAGGAACATTAGATTGAAGTAAGAGCTGCAGAAAATCTGTAAATCATGAACAAAGATTAATAGATAGGTAAGCAGAATGAAGCAATCCTACTTATTAATATAAATTAAGATTTAAGACTAAGATTTCATTTGGGGCAGCTTTGTTTCTTACTGTTTTTTAAAATAAGATTTTAATAAAAAATTTATAATTACAATTTTTTTTTAATAAAAAACTGCTTTTAAAAGTAGCAAGAAAGCTTGTCTCAAATGAAGTCTAAGCTACAGCCAAATCTTTCTAAGTTTGGAAAAACTGAAGTTTGGTCTTTTTATTTTCAAATTTTACTAAGAAATTGTAGAAATTTAAGAGTTCACCTATAGAAACTGTAATATTCTATATGACAAAATCAGCTTCCCAAAAATTTTTAACAGGTACTTTTTCAATTCCAAGTAATCTCATTCAAAGACTCTAGATTGATCAACCATTCGCCCCATCAAACACCTCCTCACAGACGATCTTGTCATTTCCAATCCCAATATACCACATGGATGCTAATTGATTAAAACCTAGCCATTGCATTGTTTTTCATAATCTCAACCTCCCTTCTAACGTATGCCCTAAAATTTGACACTTTCCGCAGACATTTGGAGCACTATCCATGCAACAAATGAATGAGTCATGCTCAATGAATCCTGATTTCAGACGATGATTACTAATCCTTACTTTTCATTTGTGCAGATGGATCTACACCATCAAGAGACATCTATAATCCTCCAACCACTCCTGCATTATCCCACTAAAAAAAATCTTCACATCTTCTTTGTGAAAAACCTCAGCATGACACAATGCCTCTCTAATATTAAAGCCAAAGTGGAAATCATTGCCACCTCTAGTACCCCTCTCGGCATTTAGGATTGCATTCACTCCTGCAAGGAGACTAATTTTCTTAATGAAACCGCTCAGAAACTCCAAAATGTTTGCCTACCAGATTCCCCCTAACCCTCACTACCACAGGAGGATGTGGGCAAACTTGTCCTTTCCATCCTAGAACTTCGCACGTCAGGAACAATAGCAGTTCCAACCGCCAGAACCAACTTTCCCACTCCCCTGAAAACCAAAATTCCATACAGTCCATCACTAGCCAAATATGCAGCAAGACAAGAATTCGGCCACTAAATCACTAAACGTTGGTATCACACTAAACATAGCTACAACAAACCCACCACCAACTCTGATGCTATCTTCAAATGATCTCCACAAAAACCGCAACAATAGTATCTTTCATTCATGACAAAAGACTTACTCATTGCCATTGGTGTCTCCCTTATTACATGGAAGCGGGTATATAAGATAAAGCATTAAAAGCGGAACTTTTTTACATGTCTAAGGAGAACCAACTTACGGATATTTTCATAATAACTTTAAAGATGGATCAGGATGACATAATAAGAAACAAGCTTAATAATTTGAATGAATTTGGCTTAAAGGAGTGCTAATATTTAACGCCTCCTGAATATTCCTAAATTAATTGTCCTCTATAAATTTCTAAGATCTTCCTAAAATAGTCATTCACTGTATCTTTCTTTATTCAATACGAACTTGATTTTAATATTTATTTCAACTGGTTTTATTTGATTGTTAAAAGTTATTAGTAGCTTTCATGTGAGTTAGTAAATTTGCTCTATAAAAAAGGGTGAAGGAACAGCACAGAAGAGAATGCAAGAAAAGTTGAAGTTTTCACACCACAATGTTTTGCATAACAGAAATTTAATTTCTACTAATGGATTCTCATTTTGCTTTCTTATGACTAGTGTTGTGCCAAACCATAATCTATGAGAAATTCTTCTTTTAGTCAATAATAGGCCTTTTTTAGTTTAAATGCATTTGGTGATTGGGCAGAGATTTATTTCTTTATAAGACATTTTCACTAAAAGAAGTTATTACCCTATTACTATTGGTCAAAATATTCATTATGTTAAAAGCAATTTCTTTATTTATGGAAAGTCTCTTTGCAAATGCAATAGTAAGTCTAATACCACCACCCCTCTCCAGACTCTGCATTAACAAGGTTCACGATTTACATATTAGTTCCTTTATCACTTTCTTGGCCGAAACTTCTATAGCTTAGATTGTTCCTTAATGCTGGAATTATAGCGTGCTTTAATGCCCTGTATTTAGCATAAGATGAAGCTTTTTATTCCTGCGTCTGCATATAACATGAGATGAAGCTTTTCAGAGATAAAAGGAAAAGAATAGACAAAAAAATCAAGAACTTTCGTTTATCTATTCATGACAGAAAGAATCTATATAAAATTTTTTTAAAGGATAATTTTATTGCCTTAAACTATGACACCTATGAGAAAGCGAAAATAAAAATGATGAAATTATGAATATAAAGAGAAGCAATTATCAAGAACACGCTAAAAACATCTAAATATTGAAGGGCATAACCGGGCATTAGGCTCCGACAAATATGATTTGAGAAAATTTTAATGCATGCAATCTTACACATGCATTGCAAAGGGGCCATTATCATATTCTTAAATATATTCTTAATTACATGACTAATATCATGCAAACCTGTTTTAGAAGACGACAAACTCATCTGATAAGTGCATTAAATCAAAATAAATCAAGAGACATAAGAAGACATTTACGCGGCACACAAAATTCATACCAGAACAGAAGATCTTGCTCTAGTTATGCCCACATTCATTCGCCGAAAATCAGAGACAAATCCAATACGACTCTCACCATTTGATCTAACGCATGAAAATATTGCAATATCTTTTTCTCGACCCTGCAAATAGAAGATATAGTAGTTAACGTTAAACAAAGGCTGCCATATTCTCTCCTCTAAAAGAAAAAATTCTGGTAGCTATAATAAAAGGCTTCCTGGAAAAGATTTTGGTAAACACACCCCCTCCCCTAAAAAGAAAATATTTCAGTAGCTATACTAAAAAAAACTACTTGGAAAACCTGAAAGCCCGAAGTGTTTTCACCTGGAATCCATCAACAGTGTTTATATCTACAGACTGATTATATTTCTCTCCAAAGGTCGTTCGAAATTTTTCATGAAGGAGCTTCACTTGATAACGATATGGAGAAATTATTGCCAATTGGGAACTTGACTTCAGAGTCAAATATTGGCTCGCCAACTTATGATACATAAGCACAATGAATTCAATCTCATCTTCATTGACCCAAGAACCGGTTCCAGAAGGCTGAGATTCAGCTCCATCTATGTCAAAGAAACAGAAAGGACCAAAGCACCGGTGTTTATGCCACAACCTTCTTGTACTATTTCTCAACAAGTCTCCATCCTCCAGAGAACCAGCATAGAACTCTTTTGAGGGAAAGATGCTTATCTGCGTCAACAAATATTGAATGTGTTTAATTCCCTGATGTGCTGAAATGAGTGGCTCGCCAATATAAATTAGAAACAGCGATCTAACCTCTGGATGCATGCGGTATTGAGTTTTGAGCAGATGTACAGGAAAGCCGGCCTCCTGTAATCTCTTAAATAAACTTGTCCCATATCTGACAGTAACAAAAAGATTAAATTACATATCCAAAAATCTATCCATTGCTTAAACAAAATAACACAATGCGAATAGTCACCCAAATCTCTCTGCTGTTGGAGAAATTACTGTGGCTGGCAATTGGAGTGGATCACCAATCTGAAGAAAATCATTATAAACAGCAATCAGATATTTTCATTCAGAAAGATAACTCACTTGTCTATGGAAATGATAAAAAAGGAACCTTTACACAAAACCAATGGAGAATAAATGTTATGCCTGGCAAAACAAATAGGCAAACAGAGCTAAATTACATACGGAACTACCTTAATCCAAATATTCCTAAATCCTAGTGATTAGGAAAATTGGACTAAATTCGAATTGTGCTTTTTGATAAATGAAAAATAAGCAGAGCTCAAGGTGACTCAAAATACTACGGGATTTTCTTTAAATTCAACTTAAAGGTGAAGGAAAAATCATCAGCCTTCTCTTAACTACTGATGTAGACTTTACAAACCCATTTCCTACGCTTGACATCTTAGGCTCTACGATTTCCTAATGCAACTATATGACACAACACACCGAATGCACCAAAATCACACATAAAATCAAAATTCAGATTTTATACACTACAACAACAACAACAAGAATTTATCCCACTATGTGGGATCGGAAGATTCAAATTTCATATCATATCAATCTAAACAAGCATTCAACTATTTTAAAGAAAATTCCCAAAACAGGCAAAATACGCCCAAAATAATAATTTAATGATCTCACAAAGGGAATTTATAATTCAATATCAATAAAATCATAGGTAGATCGGAAAACAAACTGCAACTAAAAATCTAAAATATGCCAGTTCTAACCAAATCCAACTACGCAGAGTACATTGGGGAAGTCTTAGCAGAAGTGCAAAGAGAGAAAAAAAGCTGCAGATAAGTAAGGCTTGGAAAAAGAACTAGGGGGGGTTACTATTCTAGTTAAAGGCTCTAAATTGGCTATTTTTGAAGCACAACTCAAACTAAAAGATGCATGCAAATCAATACAACAGAGACAAGAATAACATGGGAAACCTCATCACAAAGAGCAACTTGCTACAAATTATTTGTAGATCACAAAAGGAAGATCTATTAAAACTACTGGTTGACCTGTATACAGTACCGAAAAACGAAATAAAAAAAAATATCGTACCTATACTCGCGCCAACTCAAACCCGACACCGCTATTTAGCAGTTCAAAATCCCCACCTTCGCACGTCGACACTCGCCAACTCACTCCACCTCTCGCCCCATAGATGCCCACCGTCGCGTCGTTAAAATGCACTACGAAGAATTTAGCCTTAATGTCTTCTCCTCCCGAATCCCATTTTCTCTAGCGTGTCTCTCTTCGCTCTCTATCTCCCAGACAAAGAGCCTGGAGTCGCCGACATTTCTGACGTAAGAAGCAATAACAGAAGCTCGCGCTGTGACAGTTCGGAAGTTACGACAATTGTCGAACAACAGGAAGCTCACCCGCAGTGAAAAGACTACACATTCTCTCCTTTCGATCCACCTACCTTTCGCCATACACGTGCGCATGAACACTTCGCCTCCCACTTATGGCGGTCGCTCCCACTACCCACATCGGAACCGAGTTACAAACATTGTGATCGAATAAGCAGCAACAGCGCGAGGCGCTCCTGCTGTAGTAACATCTCCCTTTCTTGCGCGCTTCACCAAATCCACTAGCTCCTCCGCTCGATCCCGTTGTGCTTCGGCCCCTTCTGCGTCACTTCGCTCCTTCGACAACTTTCCCTTCCTATTGATCGGAATAGGGCGGAGGCTCGCCCGCCCTGTTGAGGTAACAGTTTACCTTCCGCAAGCTACTCCGACCAAATCCCGTGAATCTGCCTGATCAGAGGGATGATATATATATATATATTATATATATATTATATATATACAATATATAATATATATATATTTTATATATATAATGAATTTATATTGTAATTATTTAATTTAATTAGCATTTATCATATTTTATTAATTATACTTATATATATTATATTATAGTTTTAATTAAATTATATAATTAATTTAATTAGAATTATTTAAAATTAATTATAATTATAAATTAATTATCATTAATTAGTTTTAATTAAATTATACTTTATTAAAAGCAATTAATATTAATTAATTATCTTAATATAATTAATGATTTTAATTAATTTTAATAAACTTAATTAATTATAAGTAAGGTAATTAAAAAAAAGATCTTCATTAATATCATTAATTAGTTTTAATTAATATAATTTATTAAAAGCTAATTAATATTTATTAATTATAACTTAATATAGATAAATTATAATTAATGATTTTAATTAATTTTAATAAACTTTAATTAATTATAAGTAACTAATTAAAAAAGATTTATTAATTAATTATAATTAATTAATATTAATTATAATTAATTCAAAAAAAGAAAGAAATGCTTGCTCTCCCTCAGCCTTCACCGACTCCTCCCTGCCGGTCTTCAAGGTATAAGTTTCTAACTTAAACCTCGCCCTCGACGCGCTTGACGCGCCGGTGGATCCCCTATACGCGCTCTTGTAGCACGTTGGGGGAGAATCCAGTGAGACAGGTACGACGAGGCGGGTAAGCCCTATACACGCTCTTGTAGCATAGTGGGGATGGTCCTCGACCTCGACATCGGCGCCAACGACTGCTACGCAAAGGTATGATGTTCCAAATCCCACTCTCGATGTTTGTAGCGGACCGGCGAACCACCTATATGCACTCTGGTAGCATGGTAGGAGAGAGCCCGGTGCGACACATACGACGAGGTGGGTAAACCCTATACACGCTCTTGTAGCATGGTGGGGAGAGCCACTGGTGTTCTCGTACGGGTACTACTGAAGGCCCCATACATGCTCTTATAGCGTGGTGGGATGAAAATTTGTACGGCCGCGGTGTCTAAGGACACCTACCATACACGCTCGAGTAGCGTGGTGGGAAGGCCCAGCTCCCCTACATTTCTCCCAAACGGGGGATATGCCGGGGTGCTGCCGAAATTTTCACTGAAGTGCACAAGACCTGAACAACAAGAAGACATCATTTGAGCAGCAATACGAAGGACAACAGAGGACTTGTACTTGAACTGAAATACAAGAAATTGAACCTTAAATCCTAAAATGCACAATCAAGATCTAAATTCAAATACCAAATAACAATCTAATGCATTCAAACAAATACGAGCAAACAGCAGGGGACTCGTGGCGAACAGGACCTCGATGCATGAATAGTAATCCATTCACAATATCTGAACAATCACAAACAAATCTCAATTATCAAAACCAATGAACGCATGAGACAAAATACATAGTGGATGATACTGATGAATGCAGCAGACTCCTACAACGGTCCTTACAAAGTCAATGCACTGTACATGTAAGCAACAGCTGACAACTGCAAGGTGTACGAATACTACCCACATGTAGCAATCAAAGACCCACCACACAAACAACAGCTACACTGTAGATTGAGAGGGCGATGTTGGCAATTGATAAATAAATACCTCAAAACATACAGATAACAAATGATTATCAAAATGAGTTACCACAAATGAGGATCAATTATCAATACCTGAATATATGATACACAATGAATGATGCTGATAGATACAGTGGACTTATACAAATAATCCTTACAAGTTTGCCTGTTGATTGAGATAGCAATACTGGAGACCAGCAATCGAAAATCCGCCTCTACAAACAAGTACAATCAACAAACCACCTGAAATTGGTGAAAGGTAGATATGGTACTGATGTCAATGGGTCTTCTACAAATACCTTCAGGAGGTCGTACTGGATACAACGATTCCCTGCAAATGAACACTTGTGGATAACAACAGTGGATATGGCGTAGGTACAACGAACCACTGTGGGCACAGGATATGGCGTAGGTACAATGAACCACTGTGGGCACAAGTACATATATCTCCTACGACAACGATGATTAAAATCTTTAAGTATTTCAAGTACAAGGGCAACTCGATGTACGTAGAAGGACACCTCCTGGCAGAATGTAAAAGGGATTTGAGCAAATTCCAACTAAGCTTCCTGGTGTTCCAAAATTCCTTCTCGATCTTGTACTCAGGAAGGAAAACAACTCTGGCATCCACAAATATAAAAAATATCAAGTCTACTACATTGATGATCGCAAAAGGGGTTCTTTTCAAAACAGCAAACTTCAAAGTCTGGAAGAACCCTTCCCCGGTGAATGAGAAAGGGGGAGTTAACATCAAGATGTACGCCATCGGATCTGCAACACTCATACGAGTAGACAGAAGGCTTCCACAAATTACAATGCCGCGCCACCGGATCTTCAACACTCATACGAGCAGACAGAAGGCGTCCACAAATTATAACTCCGCGCCACCGGATTCGCAACTTCTATGCAAGTGGACAGAAGGCGTCTACAAGTACTTTCAAAATACCCCTACACGTGCACAGTAGTTTGTGTACACATAGGTACACAAAGGGGAAAGTACAGTCTCGACCCGCATGGGCCCCGGCGAGCGTGTCATTGGTACACACGTGACGCCTAGGGATGCTGCGCGGGTTGATAAGTGAATTCAAGTTCGAACCCGATCCTTCTATACGAATCAATAGGAGTTGACAGGGTTCGAACTTTCAAACAAATACACGGTTGTGGCGACCAGTGTATTTGTTTTAATACATTCATATTAGGCCTTCAAGGCCTACAATCAAAAGAATTCACTAAACAAAAGGCACGAAGCCTACGAAACCCGATCCTCCTAAGCATGTAAATAGGAGTAGACAAGGTTCAAACCATCGGATAAATATGCGGTCACGAAGTCAACCGGAATATTTATCTTATACATTCATATTAGGCCTTCAAAGCCTTCAACAAAGAAAATTCATGAACAAAGGCACAAAGCCTACGAAAAACCCGATCCTCGACCAATAGCTTGGTCGAGTTGACAGGGTTCGATCAACAAATAGAAATGACCCCAAGTACACCCCAATGATGGCCTCGTTGATTGAAGATCTCAACCGGAGGGGTTCACAAACAATTTCAAATGTCTTTCAAAGTCCACCCACAAAGTCCAAAATGCAACAAATCACAAGTTCCAAAATATTTAAAATTGAAAGAAATC